GGGATGGAGAGAGATTTTGTAGGTAAAGTTAGGGGTGGGGCGGTGTTGGAGTAGGCAGAGGTGTCTTTGAGCTGGGCAGCATTGCCCCCTGCTGTCTGATGAATGGATTGTACTTATTGGTATGGATGGAGTGAGGAGAACTGAAGGGGGGAATGGGGCAGGCTCCAGAGCAGGGGAGGGAGGCTGGAATAAGTACAAATCCTTGGCCCTTCCTGCCCAGCGTCTCGAGTGACCTGACAAGGTTGGTACTATTGTCACCCATGGGAAACTGAGGCAGGGGGAGGGGCAGTAGCTTGGCCAAGGCACCCAGGGCTGGGTGCGGGACCCAGGAGTGCCTGGCCAATACAGGCCCCCCTCCCGTCCAGTGGATCAGGAAGTGAACAGGGCATGTGGAGTGAAGTCTCAAGCATTATGCCTTGCTGCCTGTCTCTGTTCCCAGTAAGCACCTACACCAATGCCTTCGCCTTCACCCAGCTCTGCGGGGTCCTGTGCGCCCCCTGGAATGGGCTCATCTTAGACCGGCACAAGCGTGGGAGGAGCAAGGATGGCAGTGCCAAAGGTAATCACCCCGTCCGTCACCAGCTGCTGGACCCAGCTCTGCCCACTGCTGCTCCTCCCACTGCTGCGAGCTTCCCCACAGCAGTGCCCATCCGGGACCCCGCTGCTGCAAGCTTCCCCACAGCAGTGCCCATCCGGGACCCCGGTGCTGAAAGCTTCCCCACAGCAGTGCCTGTCTGGGACCCCAGTGCTGCAAGCTTCCCCACAGCAGTGCCCATCTGGGACCCTGGCACTGCAGGATTCCCTGCAGCCTATGCCCATCTGGGACCCCAGAGTGCGAGCTTCCCAGCAGCAGTGCCCCATGCCTCTCCCTTGCCTCTTGCCAGTGTCTCTCCTGTCTGTCAGGTGGCTCGGACTCCCTGGCGGACCTGCACTCCTGCGTCCTGTCACTGGCTGTGACGGTGCTGCAGTGTGTAGCCTTCTCGGTCTGTGCCTCCGTGCCAGTGCTGCCCGTGCAGTACGCCACCTTCATCCTGCAGGTGCTGAGCCGCTCCTTCCTGTACGGGGGCAACGCCGCCTTCCTGGCCATCGCGTGAGTCACCCGGGGGGCACAGGCTGGGGGAGGGGAGATCCTAGACATGGAGGGGGCAGGGGGCTACCAATGGGGCAGGGGGGCAGGGATGGGGTGGAGGAAATGGAGGGGAGGGCTGACAGGGCAAGGAGATGCCCTGCAATGGACAGTGGGGCAGGGTACGCCTCTGGCATGTCTCACAGCAGTGCCCCCCCATCTGTAACACCGTCCTCCCCCCCGCCCCCCCCGCTGGGTCGTCTCTCCACAGGTTCCCGCTGGAACATTTCGGGAAGCTATATGGGCTGGTGATGGGCCTGTCGGCCTTGGTGTCACTCCTCCAGTACCCCTGCTTCGCCCTCATCAAGGGACCGCTCAGCGATGACCCCTTCTATGTGAGTGTCCTCGTAGATAAATCTCTGATAATTTTCATATGACTTTACATTGTGCCTGTTCATATAACCTTGTAGTGGGTCTACCCACGTGTGACCTCTGTTTTCATGAGACTTTGTATCAAGGCCTAATATAGAAACCTTGTACTGATGAGCCTTGGTATATGGAAACTTTGTATCAAAGCCTCATGTAGAAACTTTGCATTGCCCTTGGTATAATGTTATAGCCCCTAAGGATAGAATAAGATAGAAGAAAAATGTCTTTTTGCTAGCAAGTATCAGAGGGGTAGCCGTGTTAGTCTGAGTCTGTAAAAAGCAACAGAGGGTCCTGTGGCACCTTTAAGACTAACAGAAGTATAGGGAGCATAAGCTTTCGTGGGTAAGAACCTCACTTCAGAACAAGATCTCTCCCCCCCCCACACACACACACTCTTAATCAATTGCTCTGTTGAATGAACGAGGTGTGAATGAGAGAGGCGTGGAAGGCAGCACCTCCAAACCCCTGCAACAGTTGGAGAGAGGCTGGGAGCCAGACCCAAGGATGATAAAACGTGTCAAGTGGGCTCACTAAAGAAGATCAGACATACTGACAGCCTCGGGGGGTTAGAAGCAAGCACCTTCTTTTGGAAACACCCTCTTTGCAGCATTGGGACAACCCCCAGAAGGAAGCAGCACAAAGGCCCAATGGACACAGACTTTGAATCTGGTACAGATTTGCATGAGAGGGAAGCTGCTATAAAAGTGAGGTGTCTTGCAGAGGACCCAGGGTCTCGTCTTGTCAACATGGGAGCATCGATCCGGATCGGCAGAAGCCCGGCTTCACCCCCTCCCCCATCTAACTCACCTGGCCAGTGCAGTTAAGGGGAGCAACTAATTGGTAACAACAACAAGACGGAGCGTGCTTGTGTGCAGGGCTGGCTCCAGGCACCAGCTTACCAAGCAGGTGCTTGGGGCAGCCACTTCGGAGAGGGGCGGCACGTCCAGCTGTTCGGCGGCAATTCGGCGGACGGTCCCTCACTCCTGCTCGGAGCGAAGGACCTCCCGCCGAATTGCCGCCGCAGATCGCGATCGCGGCTTTTTTTGTTTTGTTTTGTTTTGTTTTTTTGTTTGGCTGCTTGGGGCAGCCAAAACCCTGGAGCCGGCCCTGCTTGTGTGTGTGTATGTATGTGAGTGCATTAGTGTAATATATATATCTATATATCTATATATATCTATCTCATATGCATATGATACAGTGTTAACAAATACATGTATTACTAATAAATGTGGCGTTTTGCCTTATTCCCCCTGAAAAGATCCTGTGCAGTACTTTAAGTACAACATCCTGTCCCATCTGGGGCCTGGGGAGCTTCATCGACACCCCACAGTGAGAGACAGGGGGTGCCTCGTCTGGGGTGAGGGGGAACTTTATTGACAACTCGCAGTGAGAGACAGGGCGTGCCCCTTACAGGGCCAGGGGTGGTGGGGGGGACTTTATTAACATCCAGCAGTGAGAGACGGAGAGTGCCCCATCCAGGGCCTGGGGAACTTTATCGACATCCCACAGTGAGAGACAGGGAGTGCCCCATCTGGGGTGAGGGGGAACTTTATTGACAACCCGCAGTGAGAGACAGGGAGTGCCCAGTCTGGGGCCTGGAGAACTTTATTGACATCCTGCAGTGAGAGACAGGGGATGCCCCATACCGGACCTGGGGGAACTTTATTGACCCGCACTTTCTGTATTGTTCAGAACCTGATTTTCCCATCCAGGTGAACATTGGCCTCATCATCGTCATCCTCCTGGCCTTCGTCAGTCCGCTGGTGGTGCTGCGGGAGTACCAGCGCCGGGAGAGGGAGCAGGAAAAGCAACATGTTGACTCACCCCCCCTGACCCTGGCCAAGGCCGGTGTGGAGTCCTCCATCTGACCCCCCCAGCAGGGATCTTCAAGGGCTGCTCCCCCCCAAAAGGGAATTAGGAGTGCAGGCTGAGCCCCAGCCAATCCCCAGCTGTGTCCCTCCAGCCCAGCATTGTCACCATCAGCTCCAGCCAGGCACTCACTCCTCTTCAGCGGCAGGGTGGTGGGTCACGATGGGTTATTTTTACAGATACTTGATTTTCTAGGTTTTTGTATAGCCCGGTCGGTATAAATCCAGCCTTTCCCTCTCCCTGCACCCAGGGTGCGCGGCAGGGTGTGTGTGTGTGTGTATTATAGTTCCCCTTATCGGCAGGGTGTATTTCAGTCCCCCTATTTCCTTCTCTTTTACTACAGAGATTTTATTTCTGTGCTTTTTTGTAAAAGCGAGGGAACGGGACGTCCCCGGCGCCTTCCTCCCTGAAATCACATAAACGCTAATGAGGAACTAACCCAGCTCTGCACTTTGGCCTGGTCTACACTAGGACTTTAATTCGGATTTAGCTGCCTTAATCCGAATTAACCCTTCACCCGTCCACACTACAGAGCCAGTTAATTCGAATTAAAGGGCCCTTTAAATCGATTTCTGTACTCCACCTCGACGAACGGAGTAGAGCCTAAATCGATTTTGTTAATTCGAATTAGGGTTAGTGTGGACGCACACCACCGAATTACTGTGTTTAAGTTAATGGGGTAGTGTGGCCGCACACCACCGAATTAATGTGGTTTAAAACCGAATTAAGGTGCTTAGTGTGGCCGCGCACAATCGAATTTATACAACCTGTTTCCCAAATTCGAATTATCTAAATTTGGATTAATCCTGTAGTGTAGACATACCCTTAGTCTTCTCCAGAGGTCACTGGAGGCCCCTGGTCCGCTCTGCCCGGCTTGTGCCCATCTTGTCTGACTGCCTGACCCTCCCCCAGCACCCCCCCAGGGGCTCCAGCATGACGCATTGTCTGAGACAGGCGTCCGGTTTTCATTGGGTGCCCCCAGGCACTGGAGAACCCACCAGCCCAGGGGAAGAGGATCCTCCATATTAAAAACATGCCCCCTGTTCCTGGTCTGAATTTGGTGCAGACCCGTGCCCAGCCCCTGCCGGACTGAAGAGCCTCTGCTGTGAGAAATCTGCCCACGATGGGGTGCGCAGACCGGGCGCAAGCCCCCCAAAGCTGGCACTTCCTGCCGGCGCGGCCTGTGGCAGGGCTGCAGCCCTCAGCTCCGTTCTTGTTGGGCGTTTCTGAGCCCTTTGCTTGCTGGGAATGTCCCGGGGGCCGGGGGTACCCCTGAACTGGACGCAGTTCCCACTAGTGGGCTCCCTAATGCCCGGTACAGCAGTAACTCCCCCTCCCGACTCCATCCCTGGGTGGGGGTAATCCCCAGCCCTTCTCCCCCTGGGCCACCTCTTGCCCTCCCCCTGCCCTGGTCCAGCCCCAGGGAGGGCCCTGGGTGTCCCGGGGCAGGAAGGAGCGACACCTGGGGGTGATGAATGCAGCACTGTTTTATTGCAGGGAGTCACAGGCAATGAGCGAGGGGGGGCTGCCCCCCCGGGGAGCTGGGGCAAGGCTGGGAGCAGAGCCGAGTCCAGGGAGCAGGGGCGCCTCCAGCAGGGCAGAGTAGGGAGTTCCAGGCCAGCAGAGTGGTGGGGGCAGCGGGATCCCGTGGGGGGAGCAGCCCCCTCAGTACTCGCAGATAAAGGGCAGGCGAGTCCCGCAGCTGACGCTTCTCCATTGACCACCTGGCAGAGAGAGAGGGGTTAGTGCCCTCCCAGCTGGCACCTGGCACCCAGCCCACAGCAAACCCCAGATCCCTTGCCCCAGACCTCCATAGTACCACTAACCCCAGATCCCCTGCCCCAAACCCCTGGCGCCACCTACCCTCAGATCCCCTGCCCCACGGCCCCACCTACCCTTGGATTCCCTGTCCCACACCCTAAAGCCCCACCTCCCCTACACCCCATGACCCCACCTACCCTCATATCTCCTGCCCCACACCCCACAGCCCCACCTACCCTCGGACCCCTGTCCCACAGATCTGCGGTTCCCCTGCCCAAGGGCTCTTGTTCCCACAAGCAGTGACTAGATCCCCATCTCAGCCCTATCCTACCCCAGGGGGCTCCTCACCTACAGGGCACATGGCGACACACGATTTCCAAAACTGCCAGGGGTTCCCTCTGGCCCAGTTGGAGTAGTTCCAGGCACTGTGGTCAACCCAGCGGGGGTACACATGCAAGAACTGTGGGGAAGGGGCTGGGGTAGGATCAGTGCTGTCCCATCTGCAGGGTGCCCCAGGAAATCCCCTCCCCTCCAGCCCCCAAGGGGCCAGAGCCATCGGTTGGGCTGGGGCAGGAGCTGCTCCTGCATTGGAGCCAGCCGGGGGCCACAGTGAGGGGCTCTGGATTTGCTGGGAGGTACCTGGGACTTGCTGGAACCAGTCTCTGCCCTGGCACCTCATGGGCAACCAAGGTCAGTGGGCCCCAAGGAGACTGCCAGCCATCTGGGGGTCAGCTGGGACCCACACCTGAGCTACCCAGGCCCACCTCCCAGGGGGCAAGCAGGGGGTGGTCTGGGGCAGCCCTGAGCGGGGTCCCGGCTGGGGACACACTGAGCCGCAGTGGGGAATGGATCCCCCTGTCTGCTCTGCACTGGAGGGGAGGCCAGCCTCAGAGCTGGCAGGGCCCTGATGAGGGAGTCGGGGGTGACGGGGTGTTCTGGGCCAGGCCCAGGCAGTGGGGGAATGAGGACAGCAGGGCCAGACACTCTCCTTACCCAGCGGGAGGTGTAGCCCCCGATCCACACCTGGGCCCGGTTGGTGCGGGTATGCGCCGTGCGGCTCAGGCGCTGGTTGGTTGCATAGTTGTGGATGGAGGCCAGGTGGCCGTGGTAGCAGCGGGCACACACTTTCTGTGGGGAGAGGGGGAGGGGGACATGGGGCAGTCAGGGCCCAGGCACAGAGTCACATCCACCCGCCACACCCCCATGCACCATCCACTGCCCCTATGCCCCCCCATGTCACCCCTTCAACCCCTCCACTGCCCCCACGCCTCCTCCACTGCCTCCATGGGCCCCACATCACCCTTATGCCACCCCTTCAACACCCCATGCCCCCTTCAGCACCCCCATGCCTCCTCCACTGCCTCCATGGGTCCCCCTGCGCCCCTATGCTACCCCTTTAACACCCCATGCCCCCTCCACCACCTCCACACCTCCTTGACTGCATCCATGGGCCCCCCATTGCACCTATGCCACCCCTCCACCACCTCATGCCCGCTCCACTGCCCCCGTGGGCCATTCACCAGCTCCATGGGCTTCTCACCCCACTTCCTGACCTATCTGCGAGTCCTCCCCACCACCTGTGCCCCTGACCCACTCACCTGGGCTCTCCAAAATGTCTGGCAATTGTTCACAAACACATAGCGACAGGTGTGGCCCCCCTGGCCAGGCACTGTCATCCTGAAGCTCTCGCTCTCTGTGGGGCACGGTGGCTCCGGCTCCCCGGGCTCCTCCTTGCCCTGCTCGGCTGGTACCTCCTGCTCCGGGGCGCCCTCATCTGAGGGTGAGTGCGAGAGACACCAATTGGCCCTTCCAGCTGCAAGACGCAGCCCAGATCCCAAACAATCCTTGGAGGTGGGAGCAGATCTAGCGGCCGGGGACACAGGTGTCCGGGATAGAGGGTCAGGGTGTCACTGGGGGGTTAGCGAACCCTGGTGTCTGGGACGGAGAGCCTCAGAGGGTCATTGCGGGGCCAGGGGACCCTGGTGTCCGGGCTGCAGTGAGGCAGAAGGTTATTGGGGGCAGGGGCCCCAGGTGGCCGGAACAGAATGGGGCTGGGGTCAGTGAGAGCACAGGTCTGGGGTAACGGAGCCCTGTACTGTGCTTGCTGGGGTCTGACCCAAGCCCATGGGGTCCATGCAGTGTCTGCTGGGGGTGGTGGTGGAGGTTCCCATTGGGGGCAGTGGCTGTGGGTCAGGCTCCCCACAGGGTGGGGGAGGGGCTGTAGCCATGGTGACTTGGACCCCAGGACTTACGGAGCTGGTGAGCAGAGACGGCCCCCAGGAGGGCAAGCAGCAGGGACAGCTTCATCTCGGGCAGATCTGGGGGGGCAGACCGCTGTGAGACAGAGACAGATTGACACCCCCACCAAGCCCCCCCAATCGCTGAGCCCAGACTGACCTCCCTGCCTAGAGTCCACCCCTTCCCTCCACTTAGCTCAGACTGACCCCCATCTAGGGACCCCCCAATCACTGAGCCATAACCTACCACCAAGCTCCCCTGGGTTGATGACCACCCCACAACCAAGGCAGCCTTTCCCAACTAAGGTAGGGCTGGGCCAACCAAGGGGGACGGAGGGAACCCGGGGCCTTGCCTCAATACGGGAGCAGAGGGGCTTTCACTCACAAGGACAAGGGGGTACATGCACACATTGGCTATGGGCAGAAGCAGTCAGGAAAATTCTAGCATGTGCTGTTAGCCTGTGGAACACCTTTCCACAGGATACAAGGGGCCGAGAGCGCTGAGCAGTGCCAGGCCTTTCTGGGCATCACCACAGGTTCGGGGGCCAACAGTGAGGCCTCATGACCTCAGGCTCCAGGGCAGGAGCTGAACAGCCCCTGGGGTCAGGCAGGGATCTGCCCCTGCCACAGAGAGGTGAGTAATGGCAGGCACCTCCCCAAGGCAACTAGCACTGGCTGTTGTAAGAGCCAGGCCCCGACCGAGTGATCCCACTCTGGAGCAGGTCCCCATTACCCCCCATATCCCCTGGGATCAACCAAAGACCCCCCGCCACCTTTGTGATGGCTGTGGGTCCTCAGTGAGCTCCGACAGCTCCAGCCATCCCAGTCCCTTATGTTGGGCTGGAACAGGAAGCTAGGGATGGCGAAAGAGTCACTATCAGCTCCCAGCCCCTTGTGCTCCCCCCTCCCCCCGCACCCCACAGCTTGTGACATCCCCACACCCAGCCTGGGCTCTGACCTATGAGCTGCCCCATGTTGCCACCTAGGGGCCATTGGCAGAGTTTATAAACGAGCTGTCTACAAAGTGCTCCCAACTCCCCATAGACCATAGAGGGTCTTGGGTTCACCCCCCTGCTGATGGTAGCAGAGAACTGGGCTCCCAGCCCCTCGGGACCCACTTTAGAGAGACCCAGGATATAAGGCTGGGCTAGCATGTGCTGTGGGTCAGGAGAGAGGGGCACCGACAGAGGGGAGCCAGTGCTGGGCAAGCAGGGGCTGTGGGTTGGGCTTGAGAAGTGCCAGGTCTCCACCCCATCCCCATCCCTGCCCTGCTCTCAGGCCACATTGGCTCAGGACGTCCCTGCAGATAAGCATCTCCCCGCCGCGCTGGGCAGGTTTCACAAGGGCATTTCACACAGTAACGGCCGCGCTGGGACCCCGCGTCTGGGCTGTCCTGATAACCCCGGAGCTGTTTCACCACTGGCCGCAGC